CATTAGCTTACTTTGAGAAAAAGCATTTTCAGGATTTAGTATTTTCACTTCATTAGCTTTAACTCCTGATGTTATTAGCAGCTGTAATATTTAGCATTGATTTCTTATAAGGAACTTTCAGGTGAAGCAACTCTTTTGTAAGATAGCTAGATTTTCTGAAGTTTGTTTCCCATCTATAAAGCAGTCATTTCTTTTTTGAATGCTGGTTTCTTTGTCTCATTAGATTTGCAAAGGAATTACTCATTGCAGGCAGTTTGTTCAAAAGGCAAAGAATTTTAATTTCAACATAACTTTCTTCATATCTAAGACAACATTCGGTGTATAAACTGCTTTCCCTTGTTTTAAGGATTTTAAAGTGGCTTGTTTGCTCTTACAGGTAGCTTTTTGTCTTCCAACTACCATAAAAACTTTGCACAGCTATTAGGGTAAATAAGGCATTTTACCAACAGAGCCCCAAACCATGAAGCACCTAGTTCCATATCCTTTCAATTTTTCCAATGGAACTGACACTTAAACTTTTAGACGATTTTCCTGCTTATTCTTTTAAAAGCTGTATTTTAATTTTAGAGCTGACAAAAGTGTTTCAGGGCAATGTCTCTGTCTTTAGCGGAAAAACTACTTTTCCCAGAATGCATTTCCCTCATATCAGTCCCTTATTGCAAGCTAGCTTTTGGACTTCATTTCCCATAGTTCTTTTCCGGTCTGAGAGTCAACTGGTTCTCCTTGACCAGACTTGCTTACAAATTCTTGCCCAGGAGGTTTGAACAAAGTTTTTTGCTTTTGCAATGGGAGATTTGAACAAGCATTTTACATTTTCAACTATGGCACATTGGGCGATTCCTATTCTCTTCTCAGCTGGCTTCAACAGATGTCTCTCCTTCATTTGACACTGGCCCCAAATCAGAACTGCACCTGCCTCATTAGCGAGCATTGAGGCTGTAATTTCTGATAGCAACTTTCCTCGGGGCTTGTGTTGGCCTTAGCCAGTCAGTGAAAAACATTTACAACAGAGCTTTTCCATAGCTCCTTCAGAGACTTTCTCCCACTAATTTTATTCTCATTTTGCCTGTTCCTCCCCCAACCCACCCACCCCAGGTGCAGAGCTTCAGGTATCTGTCTGCAGCTCTGTACTTCTGCTAGCTGCCTTTGGAGGTAGGGGCTTTTCTCTCTCCCTGAATCTGCCTCAAATTCTAGCAGCTTTTTCAGGTCATATTTTTCTGGGGAGGATTATGTCCCTTCTGTTTCTTCAGAGTCTTTCTCCCAGACAGTTCCCAGTTTGGTCTCAATTTATCCCCTCTACCCCAGAAACAGTTTTCAACACTACAGTGGCAGCTTTCCCCACCACTGAAGGTAGGGGCTTTTTGTCCGTTTCTGTTTTCGGGGTCTGAGGTTTGTGTTCAGAATTCAAGCTTAGCAAGGGGGGGGGGGGTTGCCATATCTAAGCTTGCATTAGGACAGGTGTTTTTCCTTCAGGCCTTTCACCTGGCCCAATCCCCCAGTGGGTTGCATTTGCTTGTCTGGGTGCTCAAGGACATAGCTTATACCAGAGGCAATCACCCCTTAGGGCTACACTCCATCTCATCAGAGTCAGTTGAAACAAAGCTTTTCTCAAAGAGATGCTTTCTCTGACTGAAAAGAAAACTTTACTCCTGGATAGTTCTATTCTGCCCTGGCTGGGCTCTTTCCCCAGACAGCATTCTGACTCAGCAGCACGACTGCTTCAGACACAGTTCAGCTTTACTATTTTCCCAGAAAGGTCCTTACTCTGATAGAAAAGCTTTTCTCAGATTTCTTTTTGCAGCTGTGGACCTATCAACTGGGACTTGTAGGAAAACAGACACGTTCCTACTGGCTTTAGCTTTGGTTTTCATTAGCAATCTTCCCCTGGGTCCTGCACCTTCCTGCCTCAGCTCTGTGCTCCAGGAAGTTTACAAAGGCAGGAAC